TGGGTTAATTGATCAATTATTCATTTGCTTGTAGTTTTTTGTTGATATTTTAATAACATGCAAGCTCATACAATGTTAAAATAAGTTTCAACGAATATCAACGTGAGAACAAACTGTGTATTTTCATTATGAAAAAAAAAAAAGATACCATCTCAAACGATCATAAGTGACCATAGCCTCGGGGTACCACTCATTTGTCCTTCATTGTTTTCACTTCATGGAGGGCACATTCATAGGCTCATTGAGCACCATATACATTTACAGGAGTGCAGTCAACAAATAACTAATAGACAGGAAAAGAGCAAGGCAAATCGTACACAATGTGTTTGCGTAGATACGAAGGCAACTAGACAACGTGCAGGATTCCCACAGTCTCGGTGGCCATGATAGCGTACACACCTACATCCTAGACTCTAGGAACCGTGTGCAACCCTCGTTGTCAGATGAAAAGTAGTATAAGTAGTAGAAAATCCTGCGAGCGAGTACCATTTTTATTACGTCCATGCACTGATCCCAAGCTGATTTTTGTTCTTGTCCTCGTGTTCTTGGTACTCGGAGAGTATCTATACTTATAAACTCGATCATTTCATAATGGTTGTGCGATCTTATCTTCTGCGGGGTATCCTCTGTTTCAGTATGATAGTACGAGACGTGATAACACGAGAAGTATTATATTGCTGTAAATGAATCAATAAATGAAAAGCACGTGGTTCATGAGAACTTTGCATTCCTTACTCACTTGCGAATGACGTGAGCAAAAAATAACAAGAAAATGGGCAAAAATGATACACCTTGTGCAGGAAGAACACTACACGAGAAAAAGTACGAAAGGATCAAACGATACTTGAAGCCGAAGGAATAAGCAAAGAGAGGAAGAAGGGGGGGGGCGGTGGTTAGTAAGGGTAAAAAAAACGTGTGCTACGAAATAAGGAGAAGAAGCTCTGCTCCTCTTTTTCCCAAGATAGCCAAGTGTACTGGGTAGAAGGAAAGGAAAAAAGGCAGACCAAGGCGCGCACCGGTAGCGTCTCCATAAATCTCGCTATAACGTCGAGATGGATCAGCGAGAGTTGGAACCGGTCACGTCTTCCCCCATCTGCCACCATAGCTACTGTGGGCTCGAATTTCTCTGGCAGCGCATTCTGCTCTTTCTCCCTTTTTTCCCTCCGTTTTTAGCTTTTTTTAAAAAATATTCTTCTTTCTTCTCGGAATATCCATTTTCTAAAAATTTGTGAGGCATAACGACGCACATTCGCTGGATAGAGTATATAAGGATCAGAGGGCGATTCATCATTTCTATTTAGGAGTATGTAGGAGATCAGGTCAGGACACCGAGTGAATGGATATTTTTCGTCGATTTGTACAAGTTTGCGCGTCTGACCATACGATGACCTGTTCTACTTAATCATTGCAATAGGCATTTCACAGATGCGTACATAAATATTCAGCCAACTTATTCTCGCGAGATACGTTCAATCGAATCTTGTATCGAAAGCGAGGACAGTGAGGAAAACCAACACAAAGTGCCGATTGCAGCAGTGAACACGAGGACGAAAAGAGAAAGAGAGAGCGGATGAGTTTTATTGATTTTTTTACATCGACCGGGCGTGGGCGCCGACTGGCCAAGCAAGAGAGAAAAAGAGAGTCACCGGCATCAGCGGGATTCGGATATTCAATGTTAGCGCACCTGTATGGATATTAAATTAACACCCCGTAAGCCGGCGAGTATTAACAACTTTGCAAAAGATTACACGAGATTATGAGCTCAAGCGGAACACGTGATTTTTAATGCCCGCGACCCGCGATGCCACTGCCGTGAGAGCTCTTTTCTCGGTATACGTGTGTATGTATTATACGCGTGTACAGTTGCGTGTAAGCTCGAGTCAAAGAGTCAGTGAGAGAGTGAAAGGAATACGTGTGTGCGTGACTTATAAATATCTAAGTCTTTCATGGTCTAAAAACGTTTTCATGGATCGACTAGAAGGCAAAATCTATGCGAGAGCCCGTGTCCAAGATGCTCAAAGAGTTGTTTAACTCGTAGCTCGATGAGCGATCGATGTAATGTGTGCGCTTACAAGTTGCATATAGTCTATGTACGGATTTTGCGCAACATACGAGAAATATGGACAACACTCACCTATACATACCTGAAAAATAATCGCAAAACAGAATTAGCGACAGCTCTATCAATGAGCATCATGGAAAAAATTCTTTATGGTGCCTCAAAATGGATTTGAAAGTGTGCTGAGATTGGGCTCAATTGTTGTTGTCGTCGGCAGCTTTTAACATCAGAGCGAAAGAAAAAAAAATGAAAAAGGAAAGGAAGCAAAAAAAATTCGACCATCGACAAGCCCGCGACTGTGCTTCTAAAATCTAACCCACCCGGCTTCTAGTCGATATTAGAATAAATGCAGCATGCACCGGCACCAGAAAGCCTCTCCAGCGCGCTCAATTCCGGGCGCACGTGAAATGCAAATGGACGCCTCGCTAATAATTGATATATACGCAGGTCTGGGCTCCACTGACAGCCGCTAACCCCGTCCCAACAGTTCAGCGGCGGGTACGAATGACAGCCCGCGTAATCCGGCCAGTGCTCGCTAGATCGAGGCCCGATTTTCTCCCGCTTCTCTATCCACAACCAGGTGTATACCTAGGCGTAGTGGGTATTTGCAGGTGTGCAGAGCACAAATGCAAAGCTTACCCTGACGACCGAAAATTAATACACATCGCGTGTATTAGCTGGCTGTTGGTCGAGCTAGCGAGGGATGATGCTGACTTTAAGCTGATGATAGTGCCGTTGCCATTGGGTGTATGCACTAGATGCTGATGTGATTAGAGGAAGAGAGGGAGCATCAGGGGGTGAGGGGTATATTTTTTTCATTACGATTAAACGTTGAGATTTTTTTTTTAATTTTCACGCATGCAACTGCACAACATGGATTTTCACGTTTATCTAGCCAAAGTTGTACTTATTTGCCGAAGTTTTCCAACCTACGAGGGTAATGTATGTTCGTATGTCTCATACGCAAGTACAAAGAGAGCACTATGTGTATTGGAATGACAGCAACGAGAAGAGAAAGAGAGTAGTCAGGATAGCTGGACGTGTATATATATATATATAGAGATAGGGAAACGCGAGTGTAGCCAGCAGCAGCAGCAGCAGCATGGCACTGCAACCATACTAATCCGCCGATGGATTTATGGTCTTAATCACCGGCGGATTATCTCGGACAGCCCGCTCGCTATGTATCTACCTGCTAGCGAGACACGTACGCGCCTGCCTCACTGTAGATAACTGCCGGAATAGCGGACCAGAGCCTTTTTCCCCCGCTGGGAATCTCGCGTATCTTCCGTGAGGAGGGGTACGCGTGTCTACAGGTGGACGGCTGACATTTGGCTTTTGAGGGTGCTTGGATTATCGGTAAATTCTTTTCTCGCTCCTCTGTATGGGTGTACGCTTTTTTGGAAGCCGATTGAATCGACTGTAAGTACAAGCAACGAGCTTCTACAGCACTGCATGGAACTGGGTGCCTGTGCAAATATGTTAAATTTTAATTAGCTGTATCGTGTAATATGCACTCCAGCGAGTATCCAACATTCGTAGTGGTTGTTGCCATAAGAACACAAACAGAGAATAGCAGATATGAGGAAAAAAAAGATATGCATGGATGCAAAAGCTGCAGTAGAGAAGAAAAACAGTGCGAGACGAGTGGGAGAAGCAAAAGGGTAAAAGAGCACGCATAGACGCATGGAGAATCGCGGGGAAACAGAATTTGCGGAATTTTCGTGCACCTATACTACCGCTGCCACTACGCGGTGGCGTATAACGTCGCGGCTTTGCAGTAGAGCGTGGCTGGTGCGCGCGGACACACCGTATATGCCATACGCGCGCGGTTCTATAAATCCATAGGGGGCTTACCGGGCCGGCAGCAGAGCACAAAGCCCGCTCCTCTGCATATATGGCGGCGCGACCGCGGCTCTGGCCCTTTCCCCTCCATCCTCCTCCGTACCCTTCGCTTGTTGGGGAGCTCGTTGTTCCCTTGTGGCGGATGCGCGCCACCTCTATAAATGCAAAATCGGCCTCAACCCCTAGGTTATATGCATGCAATGTATAGCAGTTATATGCGCAGCCACCGCGGGCGCGTGGCTCAGCTTTGTTATACATACGTGCAAAGCGAGTGTGGGGATGCGCGTATACATGTATGTGTGTGTACGTGTGGACGCTGTGGGCATGCATTTAATGAAGAGGTGGCGAGCGACACGTTCTGCTCTCGCGGGCAGGTAGATTTTGCAAAGTTATAGAGGAGGACGAAAGGCTCAACAGGAGTGTGATGTGCTGCGCACGGCTTTTTGTTGTTTGCGACTGCACGGGTGAAAAGGCGTTATCGCTATTCCGATTCTCCTAGAGTCACTTGTGTGTTATGAACGGTAACTCGATTTCATTCAATTTTTTTTCTACTTAAGTTATGATATTGATATACATGCTTTTTTTAGTCAATGCGTGCGTTAGTTCAGTGAACCTATTGATGCTGAAGATTCCATTCGTTGCTCTAGAAAAATATGATGTTCAATAAAAAATAAACTTACAATAATCCATACTACGGCAAGACTACATGTTAATGTTTCATGGAGTGTTTAATGAACTTTTTTAAGTGCGAGTATAACAGCCCTCCAATGGAATCGCAGATGTTTCTCTTGTAATTGATACGTTTGAGATACATAAAGTCATTGTACGAGGCTATCGCTTTCTTAAGAATGTTTTCAAGCCAAACACACTTTCAACATACCACAGTCGTTTTCGTTCAACGCTTGAATCTGGGCTTGAGCTTCAATTGGAGTCTCAAATGTTTACATACTACATAACGCTTTTAAAATATCATGTTTATATCTTCATAAATGGGCTGTACAATGTGTGCGTAAAACATATTTCTTCCACGAATTAAAAAAGTTACAAAAATATAAAATAACTCTGACGGCAGTGAACAATGCATAAAAATACATACCCTGACTCGCGCCTCTGAAAGATTCGTCCACATGGCGATCTCCTCTCTGGTGGTCATGTCCGGATACCGATTCCTATTGAAAGTCGCTTCGAGCTCAGCAAGCTGTTGTGATGTGAAGTGCGTCCTCTGTCGCCTCTGCCGTTTGCCCTTTTTACCGTCCTTGTCGTCCGAGTCGACCCCCGGTGACACCACCGTGCCTCCACCCGTCAGCTCGTGCTTCACTTCTATCGGCGTGCGCACACCTGCAACGAGTCGAGACATCATGAATTTTTAATTGCCGATTTCAGTACTAGCACTTTTTTTCAAGTTAAAGATTGTAGAACAGTAGTTCTCTGAGTTTTCAAAGTAACTGCAAATCATTAGTAAATGTCGTCAGCACTTCGAAACGTGACTAATGAAGAAGCACCGAGCGAAAACATTATTAAGAACATATGGCCCCTGCTCATTGACTCATCTGTTACCCTGTGCTGTCTGGCCACCAATTTTTTATCCAGCCTGGGCAGAGGCTCTACGGTACAACAGCATGGCAGGCTTTTCAATCTCGACGATGATATATCGACATCAAATTAGAAACGCGTTATGGTGTAAAAAATTGAGTCTACCGATCTCAAACATTTTACGAAGCAATTCCATTTAAATCTACAGCAGACGATCTTATCACTGGATTCTCTAAAATGGCAATTTATCCCTAGCAATAATTTCGAATCAACTCCTTCGAATGCAAAATCATTCGTCTACTACTATTTGGCATGATAAATAAAACGACGATCAATCACCATGCACCAACCTCCTGGAGAGCCACAAGTCTGAGCGCTCCTCTTTTTTTTTTTTCATTCGATCGTGCCCCCAGTGTTTACTCAACGCCTCTGCTTCTTTCTGGTTCGTCCCTATGTACCTACAGCAGAAAATCCTATGCGTAGCTGTGCCCATACACGGTCGTACGCGCGCTATGACACGAGGGACTTTACGAGCGTGCGCGGCGGGCGGTCCTATATTCCGACTGTGACGTTGACAGGTGAGGCGAGGGGGCCATTTTTCGGTCCGACTCTCCCTGGTGTCGATTTGAACGCCGTAGGACTGTGTAGATAAATGAAACCATAACCCACCACCCCTTGCTGATCGAACCTCCCTCGCGCGTGGATGCAAGATCGATGACGTGCGTAGCCCGGTGCCCCGGCGCGACCCTTTGGATCTCAGTAGCGCATTTCGTCGTAATTTTAACTTAACAAATTTTGATCAACAATAATCATTTAATTGTCATTGGAAGCAACAAAAGTGGTAAAGCGGTAGTACTAGCAGCAAAAATTACGAAACACTGACTAACAATCGTGAGCAGCGGGCAAGTAGCTCGAGGGATTTGAGAAGTATCAGGCGCGCCTGGAGTAGCAAGAAAGAGCATCGGTTCGGGATCTTCCGCTCTCATCTGGGGATTAACCGGATCTGTCACTGGTCTACTTCTGTGCGGAGCAGCAACTACCGAGCTCCGCGCAGAGTCATGAGATTACACAAGAAGAGACACACTTTTCAATTTGCGAACTTTATAGACTTGACGCTGTACGCTTGGTTGTCTTTTTGAAATCGTCGTCAAGATCACATCAAGACTCCTACAGAATTTTTACTGAGATTTCAGCATCACTTCAGCGTGCGACTCACAAAAAATGTTAAGTAATAGAATGACGTTTTGGAAAATTTGAATATTAAATTTTTCTTGCAGAACATACAAAAATGTACAAATAATGCTGAAATGAATAACTTGACATTGGCATGCACTTGTTTGTGTACACGGTAATGTGCAATATTTTCAAATTTAATTGTAGAGCAGCGGCAAACTGATGTTACTGTGCTTGATTTATACAGAGGACAATAATGATACATACAATTATTACTGATTTCCAATCAACATCTTAGCCAAGTAAGTTTTTAAAGCTGTAATATGCTTTCTTTTAAAAAAATTAGTTTTGACGAAAAAAATTATCAATCAACCATAAAGGAATAAGAAACAAAACAAGTGATACGTATAACTATCGAAAGAGTCTCTTTCTCTCTTTTTCAAAATTGTACCTTTTCGAACGTCGTTCCTCTGCCCAACGTTATTGCGATTCCGTGGCTGTGTCGCTGAGAAACCGTGGGACGGTGTCGTCGAGGTCGCACCTGGCGTACTGGGATTGCTGCCACCCGGCGTGTGTGCTGTGTCTAGTCTGGCCAGGCCGTTGGTCGTTTCATCTCTGAAGTCGCTCTGCGCCCATTCTGCAACATGTTAAGGGGAAGTGTGATAATTTCTAACTTCTTTTTCTTTAGTATCATCGATTCTAAAATGTTTTGTTGCTTCTTCGATGATTTCACCAGAAAAACAGTTCAGCTATTGATAACATAAATTTTTGGCTCCCGAAAAAATTTTGATCCCAAAATTAGTACGGTCCGATTATTATCAGTTACATGCATAATATGCGTAATCAAGTTTTCAGACCAATTCAAGTTATTTACGTAATTTTATCAAAGAGTTTGGAGTTTTCAAAGCTTTTATTTACCTACTCATCTTAGTTCAAAAAAAAAAAAAAAATTAAACTAATAATAATCAAATCAGTTTTTTTATTGTGACTTCGAGTATTCACATTTTAAACAGTACTTTGTTGCTCCAAAAACTTGTGAATCTTATCGAAATGAAAAATTTTCATTTGATATTTTTAGGCAAAAAAACAAAAAGACAAAACTCTTAGTAATAAAATAAAAACAAATTTTTGTTTAGAACGACATGTATGCATGTTAAAATTATACTTTTTACTCTGGTGTATCTGAAAATGTATGAATGTAGTCACTTATTTTTCTTCAATAAAACTTACGTTTAATGAGAAATGGTGAGACGAGTGAAATTTCGTATGACTAAGTGATCTTTAAATAAGCTCTGTTCGATTTGATCTCTCACCAGGGAGTAGTACTATCAATTAAATGTCAAAAAACTTTTACAATAAGCTTCTCAAATTAAACCATACAATTAAATAAACAGGACAAAGCCCTATGGCAATGTTGAAAAAGAGCAGAATTAAAAAAAAGACTAAACAGAGCTGTCATCGTAGTCACGGTCGCGTGGCTGAGACGACTCGTTAATCGGCCTCCGTTTAGAGACACTCGTTCGGCTCCGTTTGGTTAAATTTGGTAAGCCTACAGCCGAGAAAAAAGATACAGAGGAGGGGTATGGGGTGAGGAGGCCGAGCGATTAGTCGACGTGCATAACTCCCCGGCTGATTTATAGCGCCACGACCGAGTACCGCGAAGCGCTAGTTTCTTCTTCTTCTTTTCTCTCTTAGCTCACTTTCTTTTTCTCGCCTCGGAGCAGCTGTCGCTTTGAAAAATTTTCCTACACGAGCGCAACGTGACATACCAGTCAAGAGTAGGGTTTTTTTTATTTTTTTATTTCGAAACAATTTCAGGCATCTTAATCTTCTCGACTTTCTGCTGGAAGAGAAACGTGTGACGTTATTAGTCGACTGTGTGGTTAGTTGGTTGATAGTAATTATGAGACAATTTGTAAGTATTTACAAGGTTGTTAATCTCACTCTGGTTTAATTTTAATTCGAATCAAAACATCACCAAGAAATGTCGGAATATAACACACACATATATATATACCGTGTGACTTTGTACCATACTATACAGCGTTCGTCTTCCGCTCGCATGAGGAAATATTTTAATTGTATTGAAGAAAAAAAAAGACAAAAACGCCCAGAAAATCTATCAAAAGTCAAACACTCGCAGCTAATAAAGTCCTTTAATCTCGGACAACCTGTACAAACAATACCACACTCGCATATATATTATAATACCGTAGTATACTCGAGAGCGGATATCAGGGAGCCGAGCTGTGAAATAGCCGCATGGGAACCGAACGACACCAAGCTCGTATCCACGCGTAATCTTGGAGAAACAAACAAACAAACACACCCCTCGCGGCTCTCTTACCGAAAACACGTGTAACTGGCCGAATGGCCTCTCTTTTCCAATGTTTGCACAGGCCTCTCGAGCCGAAAGACGTCAGTGATACCTCCCTTGAGAGTGTACTTATTGGGTGTATGGGTACCCGCTCGCTCGTCTGTTTGGAGACATGCTTTTTCTTCTTCACGACCCTCTGCGTAAACAATGAATTCTAACAAGCTTTTGTAGTTGTTTTTGAAGACTCTCGTTCAGGGTGTGGAAATTTATGTGCGGTGGAAGACGGAAAAATTATATGGGAATTCCATGTAGAACATATTTTTTGTTTTTTAATTACATTTATTCTCCTCAATGGATAGTTCACATAGTTGTGTTAGGTTTTGTCTTTGTATTGATTTATTGATATTGATACAGTATTTTTAGATATGTTAGTTTTATTCTATTGTAGAGCTCATTAATGACGTACAGCGTATCAAACCGTTCTTTCCAGTAGTATCAACGTCAAAGATCCAATCTTTTCTCAAAGCAAAAGTAAAGAATAAGAAGAAGCCGTAAACAAAGTGTAACTTGTATTCATTCGCGGAATTTTACGTTTGTGTGACCACATATCGATATTTCAAAAGAAAAAGGGTCGACAGATCGGAAAACTTTCTCCCGAACAGGAGCTTGGGGATCAAAGTGATGCTAGTTACCAAAGAAATTAGATACTCATATGGGAGAGGCACAGGGACAACAAGCCATCTTCGGGAAAATTCTGATACATAAGTCACTCTGTGGTAGCCAAGAGGATTCGCCCTTCCACGTACGGTGCACGACACTTGAGAACTAAATTGTCAGTGCAATGAAAGATTTACTGTATTCACGAGTTTCGAATTTATGAAACCGATGCGTTTCAGTGATGTTCATGTGATCTGTCTGGCTATTACCTAGTTGAGGTTTTTTTTCTCCGCAGAAAAAAAATATCGAAATGAAAATTTTAGTTCAATGGAAACTTACTTACTGTTAGTTGTACCAAACTGTATATTATATAAATTAAATAATATAAAAGTCCAGAGAAATCATGTATGACTAAATACCCATATATTAAAATATTAGTTTCATAATAGATTCTTTTGTTGTTTGTATAAGTTGGAGCTGTACGTTAAGAAGAAATAACAGTAACTGCTGTCGGCACGAAAAGATTGCTTATTTATTTTGTAGTTGAAAAAAAAGTAGTTCAATACTTCCAGCCTCTTCATGATTCAATTATTTGTAATTGATGTTACGCAAGATAAAACAAATTTTTTAAAAACTTTTTTTACTTTTTTTGTTGCACTATAGCTCTGAGCAGATACAGAAACGTAAAATAACGACTAAATCTGAGCGCGTTGTATAATACAAGTACATAGACGAGCCTCGTAAAAAAAAAATCAAGAACCGAGCGCGAAAAAACGAACGGCGCGTAGCTTGTGAAAAGAAAACGGTGCTGCTTCACCTTTCCTTGACAACTATTCATTACTCCCTTGTACCCATACTCTTCCGTGCAACCAGTACCGTCTCTGTACACCTACGTGCTCTTCCCTTTTTTTCCAGAACGCACGAAGACGAAAAAAGTCGTCAGCTGCTCGCCGTTTTTATCCGCGCGCGAAATGTACATATATTTCAGCCACGGCTTAAGCTCCCCGGGATTTGGCTTCACATTTTCTCTGTGAAGCGTGCTTCCGTTTTCGCTTCGCTTTTTCCTCGGTAGCTGATTTTTCTTTTTTTTTTTTGCTTCTCTCATTCCTCGCGATGCTGCCACGCGTTCATTTTTCCACGCCAAGTGCGAGTTATGTGTCGTTCCTTTTTCTTTTAGTTTTTAACGCTCTGTTTAGATTTGGAGGTGAGTATGGAACGTTGCATGCGATTTTCTTGTCTCGAAATGAATTAACGTTTACGCAGCCTTTTTGCTCATAATATATAATTTTTTATTCAAGACGTTATTACTGAAATATAACACGTCACGTCTCTTTCTTCTACCGTAAATAATTTAAAAAATATTTTTCTTGCAATGGTACAACTAGTGCCACAAATAGTACACCTCATCATTCACAAAACGCATCAATAATTTGTAATTTCACTTTCCACTGCGCACACTTGACCTTTGACCTGACTCCACAGACGGCACAGACCACAAGCGAAAAAGTCTATACATTAGCATCCCTCACGTATCTGCACTCCCATACTTATGTGTTTACATACAAATAATCCAAAGTTATATATGCAACTGGGGGAAAAAAGGGTCGGATGTTAAGTGGCGCGTGACGTTCTGGGCAAAGGAAAAAGCTATGGTCCTGAAAATTTTCCTTCTCTCGGGGTGTGACGAGGGTTTGCGAGCTCCTGTATTATCCGCAGTACCTACGGGAGAAAAGCCAGTCCACCGTGCAATGCGACCTAAATTGTAGGGAATCGCCCTTTTGTGCGTGGCGCTATTAGTCGTTCATCATTCACGTTTCGTCGTGCGCGTTCTATCGGGCTTTTTTTGTTCTTTTTTGGAAAGTGTGTATCGCGTTCATTGTGCACTGGCGAGAAGTATTCTTTGGGTACATTAGCTCGGTCATTCGTTACGTCTAGTAAGATTATTAATGCAAGGGTGTACTGTGGGGTGAAGGTAAAAATGAATTATTTTTCTGACCGAGTATGATTATTCGTTATTTTCAAGGTTACGCTTCGACAACATATAGGTTTTAGTGTACTGATCATTATGTATTTTACATGAAAAAAAGATGAGTTGCACAGTTTAATTAAAAAAGTAAGAAAAACTACACTATTTTATTTTAAGAAACCGGAACTAAGTCACGTTACAAAGAGTTTTTTTAATTTTAAATAGCAATTTTCAATGAACAATGTTTTGCTCGGCGTATCACCATCAATATTAAAATAAAACGCAGGCCAGAAAAAAAATCCTAACGCACGAGAGAACGCACTAAATTTATACGGGAAGACCCGTAGCACAACTGTTATGTGCACGTCTTTTTTATACTCATCAAAGTTGAGAAAAAGACGTCTCGTATAGTAATTACCGAAGCAAACAGCTTATAGGGTTTGAAAAAGACGTTCAAAAAAGAGAGAGAGTGAGAAAGACGAGGGAAAAGGAAGTAAGAGAGGGGGTCGAACGACGGGAAACGTGCATGGAGAGGGGCGTGGGGCACCTGTGCAAGGCATCGAGAAAAGCTCCAGGCACGTGCTTCTGCTGCTGCGGTGAGAGAGATCCGGACAGCCCTAATCTCCTAATCCTTCGCTTCCTTAGGAAGTCGTTTATTAGTAAGCTGCTGCTTCGGACGATGACTACCACATACTCG